CCCAAGATCCCAAGAGGAGAATGGAGAAGGGATTGTGGTGTGGCCATCTCCCCTGGGGGGTGATTTCTTACTTTCTGTGTCTGTCTCTCTCTGTCCTTTTGGTGACCACATGTGCCCTATAGCAAAAACCTCTCCAAAAAAAAATTCATTCTCGTTACCTACAATTATGTAAAACATAGGTAAATAAAAATAAAACCAAAAAAGCTGAGAACAAAATTTTACATTTTTAAAAATTCTCATTAGTAAGTTCAGAAATATTTCTTTTTAAAATTTATTTATCTTTTTCATGAGCAAAGGAGACAGAAAGAGTGATAAAAACAGAGACAACATGGACAAGTAGGGTCTTCACGCCATGACTGACCTAGCTTCAGCTACTTCTCATCATGGGAGCATACACCAGGCATGTTAAGGGAGTTTCTGGACTTGAATACAAAACCTTCTCATGTAGGTCAGCCTCAAAGGGCATTACATTATTGCTGCACCACTGTCTGGATTCCAATGACCCATTCTTTAAGAACTCATTTTCTTTTCTTATTGTAATGTTTAATAATGTATGTATTTCATAATTTGTATTGTTTTCCTTTTACCTCTGGAAAGAGCTGTAACTTATCTTCAGACTGATATCCTTAACAAAATGGAGTTAGTAAATGGAGCAGGACTAGAAAGTTTTTCCTAATTTGAGGTCTTAAAAATGAATGGAAAATAACATACTGTGAAGGTACTGACTCCAGGGAATGACAAAACCGACTCACAGGTTCATGGCTACGTTAACAAGTATTTGATTGAGCTGACATAGTAATGTATTAAGATTTGATAAATGAGTATCTATAGACGTTCACACACACAGGGAAGAAACTTGAATTGAAAACACCAGGAGACTTACAAGAACATGATTATCCTCTTCATCTGCAAGTTTATTAAGTTGGAGCTTCTTGGAATGCAGCTTAGTCACGAAACTTGATGTGAACATGTTAAAAATACAAACATTGCCTTTAATGTCTAAAAACCTTCATGTCTGATGTTATCTATAGACGTTCACACACACAGGGAAGAAACTTGAATTGAAAACACCAGGAGACTTACAAGAACATGATTATCCTCTTCATCTGCAAGTTTATTAAGTTGGAGCTTCTTGGAATGCAGCTTAGTCACGAAACTTGATGTGAACATGTTAAAAATACAAACATTGCCTTTAATGTCTAAAAACCTTCATGTCTGATGTTTTTGTTTTCTTATGTCTTTCTATGACTCTTCGCACGGCCCCCTTCACTTCCTTGTTCCTCAGGCTGTAAATGAAAGGACTGAGCATTGGAATCAGGACTGCATAGAACAAGGCCATCAGCTTGTCCCCCTCTGCCGAGTACAGGGACTTGGGCCGCATGTACCTGATCAACCCTGTCCCGTAGTACAGGGTTACCATGGTCAGGTGGGACGCACACGTTGAAAAGGCTCTTACTCTGCCTTGGACTGAGTCTATTCTCATCACAGCAATCAGGATTCGCAGGTAGGAGGCCATGATGAGGAGGAAGGGGACTAACACTGTGCCGACCCCTCCCACGTGCATCATGACCTCCAGCAGGGACGTGTCAGCACAGAACAGGTGCAGAGGGACGGGCACTTCACAGAAAATGTAGTCAACAACGTACGGACCACAGAGAGGGAGGATTGCAGAGTGGAGGGGCAACACCAAAGCGAGAAAGCCAGTGGCCCAGGCGCCTCCAGCCAGGGCCACACATGCAGGCCAGCTCACAAGGAGCCGGTACCTCAGTGGGCAGCAAATGGCCACATAGCGTTCCAGAGTCATCGCCGTGAGAAGGAAGCACTCGGTGGCCCCCAGAAACAAGGCGAGGTAGGTCTGAGCGAGGCAGAGGTCGTAGGAGATGACTTTCCTGCTGGAGAGGAGGTTGAAGAGCATCTTAGGGACCACAATTGTGCTAAAAAAGATGTTGAGAAAGGCCAGATGACAGAGGAAGAAGTACATGGGGGTCTGCAGAGAGGCATCCAGAGCCACCAAGGTGATGACAGCGGTGTTTCCGAAGCAGTTTGCTAAGTAGACCAAAGAGAACAGGAAGAAGAGGGGAATCTCGGTTGGGGGATGATTGGAAAATCCCACAAGGGACAACCCGGTGACGGTGCTGGGATTCCCATACACTGTTTTGATCATTTCTGTTCAAATAACAGAAAGGAGAAAACAAAAACAATTGTGTAAAAAGATTCTGAGTAAATCAATTCACTTGCACATCAACTTTAATGTTAGCGATAAATGTGTCTTAAATCGGAATAACAATTATTTGTGAAATTTCATTAGACATAAGCAAAAGCTCCAAATCACAGTCTTCATCATATAATGATCTATTTTTGATAAATTGCACAAGAGCTTTGGTTTCAAATGAGAATTCCGCCCACCTCTGGTAATCATGTTACGTACACCCATTACTCCTGGATAATTAAATATTATTTATTTTAAAAAGTAAGCTTTACAGTCAGTAGAATAAAAGGACTTTCACAAGTACAAAATATGAAGTTTAAGGTAACTCCATTGTCTTCCCACTGTTTAAAATGAAAAATGTTTGCATTTACATTTATCAAGACAAGTATTAATTTTTCTTTTCATTTCTAACTCCAAAGGAAAACAAATTATTATCTCGTGTAACTGGAATAATATACCTAATGTAATTATTTTGATGATTTTAACCACCCCAATATTAGTAAAAATAATATAATCAGTCCTCAAAATATTGAACTTCCAAATTTCTAGCAGTGATCTTAAAGTAGATAATACGCTGATTTCAAAGTCAGGTTTTTCACCATTTTAACCACAATGTGAAATTGTCGGTATAGGCATATGGTTCACACACGTACACATATCTACCGCGGTTCGATTCCCGTATGCGTTAACGAAACTGAAATTTAATTCAGCAGCCCGCGCTGGAACGGAGGCCGGGCGGTGGCCTAAAGTGCCGTGTCTCACAGGACGGGGTGCACAGGACCCTCGGCGCTCCAGCCGCACCAGAGCACCACGGAAAACGCTCCGAGTATTTTCCAAAACGGGGGCATTTCAGAGGAGCCCGCGGGTCGCAGACCGACGGAGGCCCGCCCACCTCTCTTTCTAACTCCAGCTTCCAGGGCCTCCTGTGTCCCGGCCTTCACGGTTCTCCTCTTTTTGTCACTTTCTTGATGGATTTTTTTTTTTTTAATTCACTTATATTCGTTTTCCTCCATGAGAGAGAAGCAGACAGACAGGCACACCGGCCTCAGCTCTCGGCCCTGCAGCCGGGTGCTCGGGCGCCGCGGCTCAGCGAGGCCAGGCCCTTGGCGCAATCCAGTCCCCGCGTCCCTCCCGGCCCGGTGTCCCTCCCGGCCCGGTGCCCCGCAGGACGGCTGAGACCTTGCCATCGGGTCTGTGCAGCGCCCACGCCCCGGGTCGCGGGGAAGACTGGGACCGCCGGACAGACTGACGCCGGCGCAGCGAGCAGGGAGGCCGCGCGGGTCGTCGGGGACCTAGGAGCCCCCGCGTTGCGCCGGGCCCTGGGGCGCTGAAGTCCTGGCTTCCCTCGGTCGGCCCCAGCGACTGCTAAACGGTGGTCTCCGCAAGGACAAAGCGCGTCCTTGTTTGGGGAATAGGTGGTGGGGATCACGACCCCCCGACAGCCACTTACGGGTCATCCTCATCCGGGTCATCCGGCTGGGGCTGGCGAGGACAGACGGTGGCGCCGCCGTCGCGATGTCGCCCCCTGCCCTTCCTCAGGTCCGCTCTGCCTTACATCTAGGAGACTGAATTGGGAGAACAGTGAGTCGCAGTTGTCGTCTAGACACTATAAATCTCCATCGGAGGCCGCACTGAGCTGAGATCCGTTAACAGACGCACGGTTCTGGGTTGGATCCCAAAGGGGAATATTAATAGTTAACTTCAAGTAAGAAAGAAAAACAAAATAATTTATGTTCCACTTGCAGCTAAGGGCAGACAGTTCATTAATGCAATTTACAGGTTTTTTTTTATTTATTGTGACACCTGTTCACTCCATCACTTCTTTGAGAGAAACGTCTCAGTTAGGGAGTTCTAGAAGCAGTATGTTAACTCCACCTTTTATAATGTGAGTACAGAGAATTTTAACTGAAATTTCGTGAGATCCTAGATAAATTCAATTGTGATGTTAAACACTGTTCACTTACACTTATTCTCACTGCAAGAGATCATTTTCATCTTGACGATGTAGAGGCACCTCAGACCAGGCTGGCAGTACAGTACAGTGGTTAGCGCACGGTAGAGCGAGCCAGGTCTCCCATGGCCATCTGTGGCTCAAGTCCCAGTCCAGTGACCTGAAAAACATGCTGGCAGATGCAAGTGTGCCCAAGGTGGACAAATGGAAGAAAACAGGATTGTGGCATGACCGGGCTTTGTTAAGGGTGATTTCTCACTCTCTCTCTCTGTTGTACGTACACTCTTAAAGGGGGGGGAGAATAGAAGTGAGTCATAACAACATATGTTTATATATATGAAAGATAGATATTTTACAATAAAATTCAAATTAGAAAAAAAAATGTCCTGTGGTTTCATTCACGTAATCAGTTCTTACCCTCCTCTGCAGATTGGGCAGGGTCTGAGCCCCAGTTACAGGTGCTAAGGGTCAGAAGTTACATATGTCACATAGCCCTGGGTGAGGTGACAGCCAAGTTCAGGATCACATATGAAGGGAATAATCCAACCATTTCTCCGATGCTGCTCGCTAACAAGCCAAGCCCCTGGCCCCAGCCCACACCTTCCTCAGGAACATGTACCACCTCCAGCTAAGAGGCGTCTGCTGTGCAAGTCAGGACCCCACACCCATGTGCAGGGGCTCAGGGGGTCAGGCACTGTGTGGCCAGGCCTGACAGACATGTCAGGTGGCCACTCCCACAGCTGCCCTGCCCTGCCGAAACCTCATATTACCTCATTTACGAATGTAGTTTCTGAAATAGACTGAAAGACACAGGAGAGGAACACTCCGGAATGGATAGGATCAGGGACAGTTTAACTGACAAAAGCAACACTTTTTTTTCCCCTAGAAAATGGTTCTCCAAAGATTATGAGAATCTCCCTTGCCTGGCTATTTCTCTGTGCTCAGTGGGCGGCTCTTACTGTGTGGAGCTCACACTCCCGTGCTGTCGCTCCCCTCGACAGTGGTAGGACAGACACTTCCTCTCTGTGTGCACACTCTGAAATAAGAATGACAGGGCTGGGGTATGCCGTCCTCAGGGGTTCTAAGAATGGCGGGGCTGGGGTGCATGCCATCTCCAGTGGGAAGGGCCTTGCCTGCAGCCATCTCAGTAAACAACGTTGCTGTCTCTCTCAGGAGGCTGAGCCAGGAGTGCCTGGGAAGCAGTATCTTACAGTTCTCAGTTTAAAGATCTTTCACCTCCTTGGTCAAATTTAACTCCTAGATACTTTATTCTTTTTTTTTTTTTTTTTGATTTTTCGCTATAGGGCGCGTGCACTCGCCAGACAGAGACAGACATTAGAGACAGAAAGCGAGAAATCACCCCCCAGGGGGAATGGTCACGCCGTAATCCCTTCTCCTCCATTCTCCTCTCAGGATCTTGGGCACGCACACGCATGTGCCCGGCGTGAGTTTAAACCACCGGGTCCGGGAAGTGAACCGTGGTCGACTATGTGGGAGTCCAGCGACATAGCCATTATGCTCGCTAACTGCTGGTTCCCAATACTTTATTCTTTTTGATGCTAATGGACTTGTGTTTTTAATTTCTTCTTTGTGCAGTATATTGTTAGTATACAGGAATGCAAATGGGACCAGCCAGGGTATGGTAGTGAAGGCAGCTGGATCCTACATAGCCATCTGCCCCATTCCAGTCCCAGACCAGAGGTTTGAAAAATCCACTGGACACATGTGCATGGGCCCAAACTTCTGAAAGGAGGAGAGGGAATTGTGGCATGACCGTCTGCCATTGAAGGAGGATGTTTTCTCACTTTCTCTCTCTCTCTCTCTCTCTGTCCCTCTCTGGTGAACACACATGGTTTCTGGCCAATTAAAAGTAAAATAAAAAAGAAATGCAAATGATTTTTGTATGTTGACTCTGTATACTGAAAATGTTATGTTTTTTAAATTAGTTGCAACAGACTTTTTGTGGGTTTTTAGAGCTTTTAATATATCAAACAGATCAAACAGATACAAATAGGTCATTTACCTTCTTCCTTTACAGCTTAGAGGCCTTTTATTTGTATACTTTTGTTCTTGTCTGATTGCTCTGGCCAGAACCTCCAGAACCATGTTAAGTAGAAGTAACAAGAGTAGGCACGCTTTACATGTTAAAATTTGACTATGAAAACCATTTCAGAAAATACAGGTATATAAAGTCATCACATTGTATGCTTTGAATATTTATAATTTTTATAAGTCAATTATAAATTAATAAAGCTGGAAAAGTAAATAGTGAAACATAATGTATCTAGAAAGAGGTTAGTGAAGTGAATAAGTAAAGCTAATTATTTAATGCTATTTAATTATATCAATGGTATATAGTAACATAAAACCAATATTCTGAATAAATAAATGATCTCTAAGCAAAATGGCAATAATAAAATAAAATTTTTGTCATCATTGTCTTTATTAATAGAATTATTTGTTATTATTATTATTATTATTATTATCAAATTTGACCATGGAAAGAAAGGAAAAGTGAGAAAACAAGCTGCCAGGTCCAGGAACCGAACCTCAGTCTGCCAGGTGGGAGTCTAGTGCCCTAAATATCATGCCACCTGCCAGTCATCATTGTCTTTTAAAAGAAAATACAATTACATTGAACATTTGTCCTGGCTCACTAGGTAGGCTCCTCCTAATAGTGTAAAATATTCATTTTTCTATTTAAAGTATACACTAACTAGAATCATAAAATTTTATTTTGGGCCAGTGATGGTGTGGTGGCTAAGGCGATGGTTGACTGTGAGTTCTGAATCTAGTGACCTGAAAAATACGGCAGGCATGTGTGCCCAAAATCCTGACAGGAGAAAGGGAGAGGTGATTGTAGTATGATCGTCCCTCTGGGGGTGGTGCTTTCTTAGTTTCCCTCTCTCTCCAGCAAGTGCATACACTCTCTTTGACATAAATAAATAAATCATTAAGTGAGTATGAACAAGAAAATGAGAAAAGATTAGGGGTAAAATCCAAAGGATTCTATACTCCCAGATACTTCACAAGGTCTACATTTTCCATCCCTCCCACTTTTTTATTTTGCCAGAGAACACATGCACTCACCAGAGACAAAGAAACAGAGGGAGAGGGAAAAACACCCTGCAGTGGGGTGTGATCATGCCACAATTCCTTTCCCACCATTTCTCCATCCTGTTGGGATTTTGGGCAAGCACACACATGCATCCAGTGTGTGTGTGTGTGTGTGTGTGTGTGTGTGTGTGTGTGCGCG